GAAACAAAGGGTTGAAGCAGGGACCTTTAGATCTTCAGACTAATGCTCTCACAACTGAGGTATTTCGGCCTCTTTGGCTTTAACCAAGCCCTTTTCACCAGTCAATCAATGGGATCTTATCGGTCAAAATCACAACCGAGTCACATTGTCTTACAGTAATCACATCAAAGAAATGAATTCTATGCCTTACATGCCGAAAACCCGCATCGAGCCAGGGACCTTTAGATCTTCAGTCTAATGCTCTTCGTACGGTGCTATTTTGGCCTTTTGTGGAGTTTCTTCAGCCCTTTTCACCAGTCAATTGATGAGATCTTATCAGCCAAAATCAGATCAGTGAGTCACAGGACACATCGTAGTACAGTAATTGCAACAAAGAAATTTCATCTGTGCTGTACGTTGCATATGCAGCACATTTGACAAGAAAGTGTGTGTCTGTGTCTCAAATGCCGAAACCTAGGGTTGAAACAGGTACCTTGAGGTACAGTCTGCAGTCAAACACTCTCCCAACTGATCTATATTTGCCGCTGTTGGAATTGACGAAGCCCTTTTCACCAGTCAATTAATGGGATCTTATCGGCCAAAATCACAACAGCAAGTCAGAGGACACATCGTGGAACAGTAATCGCAACAAAGAAATTAATTCTGTCTTGCCGCTGTTGGAATTGACTAAGCCATTTTCACCAGTCAATTAATGGGATCTTATCGGCCAAAATCACAACAGCAAGTCAGAGGACACATCGTGGAACAGTAATCGCAACAAAGAAATTAATTCTGTGCCTTACATGCCGAAACCTGGGGTTGAACGAGGGACCTTTAGATCTTTCGTCTCACCCTCTCCTAACTGAGCTATTTCAGCCTCTCGTGGTTTTAAATAAGCCCTTTTCACCAGTCAATTAATAGGATCTTGGCCAAAATCTCAAACAGTGAGTCACATGACACATCGTAGTACAGTTGAGAAATCACAACAACTGTAGTGCTGAAACCTGGGGTTGAACCAGTGACCATTCAGTCGTCAGGTTCATGCTCTCCCTCTTGTGGCTTTAACTCAGCCCTTTTCAACAGTCAATGAATGGGATCTTATCGGCCAAAATAACAACAGCGAGTCACAGGACACATCGTCGTACAGTAATTGCAACAAAGAAATGAATTTGGTGCCTTCCATGCCAAAACCCAGGGTAGATTTTCAGGCTCACGCTCTCCCAAATGAGCGATTTCGGCCTCATCTGAAGTTCGCTCAGGCCTTTTCACCAATCAATTAATGGGATCTTGTCAACCAAAATGACAACAGCACGTCAAAGGACACATCGTTGTACAGTAATTGCATTATAGAAACAATTTCTGTGCTTTACATGCCCAAACCCGGGGTTGCACCAAGTGACTTTAGATCTTGAGTGTAACGCCCTCCCAAGTGAGCTATTTCAGCCTGGTGTTTGTTGGATGTGGCCTTTTCACCAGTCGATTAATGGGAAGTTATCGGTGAAATGACAACAGTGAGTCACAAGACACATCGTCGTGCAGTCATCAGAACAAAAAAAAAAAAAAATCTCTGTGCCTTACATGCCAAAATGCAGGGTTGAACACCAGACCTTTATAGTTTGAGTGTGACACTCTCCTACCTGAGCTATTTCTGTCTGTTGATGGGTGGGTTATGGATGGTCCACAGTTGGTCAAAAGACACAAACAAATTGCCTTAACGCAATCCAATACTATTTCACGGTACCCAGGTCTATGACTTACGGCCACCTGGTAACACCAAGTTAAATGTGAATATT